GCTGTTACACTGATTCCCCATGGCAATGTTATCCATGTTTCTGCTGCATTAACTCCTTAGCTGAGTTTGAGATCTTAGCTCTAACACAATAATTTGGGCTATAAGTTCTTGTTTTAACCAGTTTCCTGTTCATTCCAATTTTTTTTTTGGGGGGGTCATCAAAGTATTTTTATTTGCCTTAGTGGAGTGATTAACACATTTCTAAAGTATCACTCAACTTACAGATGTCTGATTTGCACATATTTCAAGGATGTGCTAGTTACACAAAGTAAGACAAAGCTGCAGATACATTTTCCAAATGTGAGTAAATCTAACTTTGATTCCAATTTTGTTATTGTTCTCAAGTTTTAATGCTCAAGGGGTACAAGCTATCCAACACTCTGGGGGTGTAGTTCCCTCGTCAGCTCAATTCTAATATGTCCTTTGATTTCATGCAGCTCTCATAGATACTTCATGAGCTGATCTTAACAGATAATGCTTTATACCTGAGGTACTAAGTAAATTTCTAGCCTTAAATGCTACCGTAGTCTCTCTTAGCTTATGGAGTCCTTTACTGTATAGCTCTATGCTTCTACCCACGTTTGGGTAGCTTACTGCAGCCTTGTAGAGAAGAAGTCTGCCAGTCTTGTCATGGTTTTCCAAACTCTGCTATCTCATTGATCCTCCATAGTGCACAACTCCAATGACTTATTTTTTTATTTATTGGATACGTGGTCCTGCTATGCATCTCAGACTCCTAGTGATCCTCCTTTTTCAGCCTCCCCAGAGCTGGGATTACTGGTGTGCATGACCACACCCAGTTTTAGGGCCCACATAATGTACCCAGGGTTCTGGGGCAGATGTGGCAAGCAGTACTGGGGACAGAATTCAGGTCTTTGCACTTGCCCAGGCAGGCACTTAGACCACTGAGCCATCTCCCCAGCCCTCCAATGACTCTATTAAGTCTCTTGACTTCTTGTTCTTCTACAACACACACACACACACACACACACACACACACACACACACACACACTGTCTCTGTCTCTCTGTCTGTCTCTCTCTTTCTCTTTCAATTACAGTGCAAACCTAAATCACCTTTTCTAGATGCCAACCACTATTGAAGGAAAAAAAAAAAAAACTAACGATATAGATTACTAACGATATAGATTTATGGTATTTAGACCACAGCTCCCAGATTTTTGTGGTATTCAGACCACGGCTCCCAGGATCACGAAGGAATCTTTTTAACATGTCCCATGTAAGCTCCTGGCCCTGCTCTCTTTATAGGAATTCACAGTCTGTCTTTTGCTTGAGCTCCTATTTCACTACCTGCCCCCATCTTCATTAGCAGTGAGCCATGCCTTTTGTTTTGGAGAATATAATGATAGCCTTAAATCTCTAGATTCTGGCTTACATGCACCCCCATGCACATTTACTATCTTACAGGAGCACTACTTTATTCTTTTTAGTTTTTTAAGGGTCTCACTACTAGATAGGACTCATAGTGATCCTCCTGTTTATAGCCTCCCAAGCACTGGGATTACAGGCATGTGCCACCATGCCCAATCTCAATAGCCAGCTTAGCGTGCTTGGGGGGGGGCTTGCATGGGATGGCAGGGATTGAATCCCCAGCCCCTGTATCTGCCTAAGCAGGCATTTTAATCTGCTGAGCTATTTGGCTGGCCCAAGAGCACTACTTTAAATTGACACTGCTGATACTTTTTCCTAGATAATTTTTTGTGGAGAAGGAAGTCTTTTGTATCTAGGTGGCTAAGTAAGACTCATTAGAAGCAAGTAGGGCCTCTGTCCTTGTAATTGAGACAACAAAAATGTCTAAATACTGCTAAATATCTCCTGAGAAGTAAGATCACCACCAATTGAGAACCACTGCTCTAAGTCACGATGCAGCTACCAACCTGGCTTTCTGACAGAAAACTTCCTGCTTCCTTCAATATCGTCTGTGCCTTTGGTGTCTGTATCAGTTAGAGTTGACAAGAAGAACAGGCTTATTAAAATGTGTGTGTGCATGTGTGCAAGCACACGTGTGTGTTCATATAAATGATTTCCTTACAGCCACCTGCAGAACTGGGTGGAGGAATGCACAGGGTCATCTGCATGCGGGAGGGCCACAGGATCAAGGTGAAGGCTGGTGTCTGCAGGAGTCCAGGGCAAGCCTGTGTCAGAAACTGAAGAGTCTGCATTGGGAGCGTGAAGGAACTGGGGACAAACTTCCACAGGAAGGCAAAGACAGCAGCTCCTCTCAAGGCAAAGGGAAGATTTCCTTCTTTTTTCCCTTCTTTCCTCATCCAAGCTAGAAGCCTACTGGTCGATATCATCTATATCTGGCTTGGGCCTTCCTTCCCTTCTGTTTACAGTCCCTGTGTCAGTCATCCACAGACACACCCAGAACTGTGCTCTGCTAATCCAGCAGCTGGCTCTTACTCCATTCAAGTTGACATATCACAATTAACAATCACAGTGTCATTTATTTATGTATTTATTTAATTATTTATCTTGAACTTGTCCCTTGGCTTTGTTTCCTTAGTATATGATTTTATCCACCTCCCCAATACTTAAAAAAATTCCTGGATGACAGTTCTCTCTCTAGTCATTGATTATATTTCACTCTTCAAAGTGAAGCTCTGAGACTTCCATAGGTTCATTTTCTGTAGTGCCCATCAATCTTTACCCTTTAATCCTTGTCAATCCATAGATACAGTGCAAAGCTACCAAGGTCCTCTTGATTATTAAGTGTTTAGGTAACTTAACAGCTAGTTTCTTTTCAAACATACTCTCCTGAACCTCCCTGCTCCCCTAGCCTACATTCAAGAGCCCTGCTTTATCTGATTCTTTCCTTTTCCTTTATTTTTTCTTTTTTGTGGAACCGGGGATTGAACTCAGGCCCTCGTGCTTGCCAGGGAAGCACTTATTCTACTGAGCCACCTCCCCGGCCCCTATTTTTTCTTAATCATCTCCTCCTTTGATTTCCCTTCATCTACTGTTCAACTGGATTCTGTCTTTGACTTTTTTTTTTAGAATTTGGTAACTGTCTTTCTGAGCTACTATCTGCATTACAAACTTATACTTCTGATATATGATGCATATACTGATTTTCTTTTGATTTTGAAGTTCTGCCTCTGCTCAATTTTCAATCCTGTATCTCTGGACCCTTGTCAATATTTCTATTTGTGAATATTGAAGATATGAATAACAAAAAGATACCTAAAATTGAACTTGTTTCCCAGTCTTCACTATCCCTTGTTTGTATCTCTCCAAATGTTCCTAGCTCATCTCATTATTTCTTTGGCACTGCTGTCTATTCAGTTGTGAGGCCAGGACCCTTAGCAAAAATCTTCAATTCCAGTTCCACTAATTAGATCCAACTGACCATAACTCTAGGCAATAATAGCCTGTGTCCCCTTCTTTCTAACCCCACTAATTCCGGCTTTTTTATTTCCTTTTTTGTGGTACTGGGGATAGAACCCAAGGCCTTGTATATGAGGGACAAGGGTTCTATCACTGAGTCCCAGCCCTCAGGCTTTCCTATTTTATGGAGTCCTAATTTCCTTGTACTAGGTCTGTGGTGTCAACCTATGACACGCATGTTGTTTGTTTTTAAGGCAAAGGATATTAATGTGCGAGTTGTTTTTTCTAAGCTAAAACCTCAATGTTCAGGTTTAATTATCATGTTGGGACTTTGGGATAAGTAATTGGGTTTTGGGTTGCAGTTTGGGCTTTTGTCTCTAAAAGACTTCACTAGGTCTCAGCTATCTGCAATCTAAGCACTTAGCGGACACAAGTATGATCTTTTTTTTTTTTTTGTCAGAACCGGAGATTGAACTCAGGCCCTTGCACTTGCAATGCAAGCGCTTATTCTACTGAGCCATCTCCCCAGCCCCCACTAGTAAGATCTTAATAACATGCAGATTCCTTAATGTCATTCCTTTGGTTACTTCCTTGATAGCCTCCCCTTTGTCTGGAGGACAAACACTAGGCATTTTAGTTAGTCCAGTATAGCACACCCCGTGGGCCTGGCTTGTGCCTTTATCCTGCCCTTCTTTCCATTAGACCTGTGTTCTCTAACCACACTTGTAGCACATCATACCTTAAGTTTTCCCCTTGCTGGAATTCTTTTATGCTAAATTCACCTACCTAGTACACACTTTTTCATATGACAAGCCTCAGGCCAAGCACTTTCTCCTCTGGGAACTTCCTGAATGTCCCTAGGAGATAAAAGTCTTGTCTGCTCTGTCAGGGGGGATTAAGAGACTTCTTGCCAGAGGAGAATTCGATAAATATGTGCTGAATGACTGCATGATATATGACTGTCAAAAAACCTTTTCAGGACACTGTAATTATACACGAATAGGACATATACTTGCGTGTGAGTTCACAGAGTCAATAAGTAAGAAAGCTACCCAGTCTAAGGCAAGATCAACTGTTACATAATAAAACAAGTTTAATAGGCAGTACATATAATAATATAGTGCTTAATAGACTTTTCTATGAAAGTACTATTGACATCAGAAGACTGTAGACTTGTGTCTCTCAGGGACCTGATAGCAAGCTAATATATATACTTGGTAATACACCCACATTCATTCTAAACTGAAAGTACTTTAGAAGCAGAAGAAATGTTTTCAGTAAGAGAAAACTGGGCTTCAGTGATCTCTGGCACGTATGTGCACCTTCCAGATGGGACTGATGGCAGTGTCAGTAGCACAGTTAAGCAAGTATAGAGTGGAAACAAAGTCGCAAGTGCCACTTTCGGTCCTTGTCCCATTTTTTTGGCTGCAACTTGGAGGTCTACTTATCTCCCTGAGTTTCCTCAGTTTTTTCATCTAGAAAATGACTATCATAACATATGCCTCATATATTTCATAATGTCAGTATCAAGAGCAAAAGAAATAATAAACTAGGTAATGAATTATAAGGATAGAAACATAAAGGAGTATATTTTATAGGAAGAGTGAAAAATACCGAAGTACATAAGCAACATATATCCTTCAGAATATTTACCTTTTGAGGAGCTAAAGCTTTTTCCTTGGAAGCCAAAGAAGGAGATCGTTCCTTTATCTCTGGAGGTAGTTCTTGATACAGTGCTGGAATTGAAAAAGGAGTTAATGTAATTAAATTAAGATACATTATTCTATGGGGAGGAACAATGATGTAGGGTAGCAGGTATGAAATTAAAGACAAATAGGTACTTAATTCCCTTGTATAACAAAAGCTTCCTAACACTTGTGTTACATATTAGTTATGATTTAAACTTTTAATTAGGATTTCAGAAATGTAGAAGGTATTATATTTACTTACTATCCAATCATGTGGATGTTTATTTCATTTTATCTCAACATACATGTACCAGGACTGTGTTGTATGCAAGGTTATTTGCTGGGTCCTACTAGAGGAGAGATGCAGGTGAACAAAAGTGAGTCTTCATTCTCAAAGAGATTATAATCTGGTCATGGAGAGACATGTTTGCAACCCTACCATAAAATGTGTCCTTATCCGAAAAAAGCTAAGAGTAAAGACAAAGTGAGTGGACTTGGCAAGAGCTGAATGGAATAAGCAGCTATGGCACATCTGAAGAGCAGGATGGGCTTGGCCAGGCAGAGGTATGGACAGGGATACTTGGGAATGCAGAATGAAATAAGTATGGATTAGGCTACACATGATGTTGAAGCTAAAAGTCTCACAACCAATTATAACTTATAAAGTCTACTGAACTGACATATGATGGTACTGAATCTACAGGCTCTTGCAGAATTTTGAAGAGTTAAAAGAATATCTAGGGGCTGGTGAGATGGCTTACTGGTCTAAAGCACCTACTTAGAACAAGCTTGGCAAAGCACAGGGACTCTGCGGTTCAATCCCCCAGCACCACATGCCAGCCAGCCCCGCCCCCAGGTGGGCTGAGCTGGCCACACACACACACACACACACACACACACACAAATGTTTAAAAAAATTAAAAAAAAAAAGAAAAAAGAAAATCTATTTTAAAATTGGTTAGAAGAACTCTGAATTGAGAGAAGTTTCTAGTGTTTTGTTTTGTTTTTGTACTGGGAATCAAACCCAGGACCTTGCGCTTACCAGGCAGCTGCTTATGCTGCTGAGCCATGTCCCCAGCCCTTTCAAGAGAAGTTTCTAAAGCACACTCAAGATACATTAACTGGTTTTGTGTATGGGCTAATAGTATTATTATGTTTCTTTATCTTTTATAGAAAAGGTTGTTAGGTGTGATTAAGAGAAGCTGGTCCTGTTTTCTTTCCAGGCGCTTAAGATACAAAGAAAGTAAATCCCTTGTAACAGTGAGCACCATCTTCCTCCATAGTGATGCTCTCTCAAAGGACACAGCTCTCAAGTGCGCAGCACACAGAAATCTTGCTCACATATTCTTTTTTAGAACATTTGCTTTGCATATTTGACTTCAGATAAAGATCAAGGACAATTCCTTCTACTTTTAGGGTGCAATGTGCTGCTGAGAATCATTTTTCTCTATTCAAACTGGACAGCTACATTTTTGTTAAATTTGGGTACAAAGGATAAAAGGAGAGGAGAATAACCTCTGACAAAGTGTGAGAATTGAATTAGTATGTTCTCAGGTATTCAAAAATTTCCTTTTCTGTTTGTTCTGACCTCTATAAGACTTTTACAAGAAGCAGTGAGTGAAACTAAAAATATCAATTATTCTCGGACTTAGTAAGAGATTATGCAGATAATTTGAGACAAAGAATCTTATATGCAGTCACTGACTATCACTGAGATATGATTCAGAGATGACTTTGGTTACTATGAAAGAAAAACAAATTTTATTAGATTTTAACTTACTGTACACTAAATATCTATAATCTCTCAATTGGTGAGCCTGAGAAGTTATTTGTGTAAGTCAGCTAACATTACTGCATCTAGTATCACCTTACCTTGAGATACTCAATCTTTTTATATCCAAGTGAAAAAAAAATCTGTAGATGTTTTCACTTGTATTTGAATGGAATGATGGATTTTAATACTGAGTTAAAATTATAGATGTCCTCTACAGTAACTGTGGCATCTTGATTTAGAAGCAGAAGCTACCCCTGCTTAACCACAGCTATTGATCCTCTGTAAGGGCCATCACTCAGCCATCACTAAGGAGAGGAGGTGCCTTGGCTATTTTGACAATCTGGAAATTAGAAGTGCTGAGCTTATTGGAGATGAGTCAAACACTGTCATACACTGTAGATGCTAAGACTTAACCGCTAAAATTTCCTTCTAAGCTTTTTCCATTATGCATTCTTTCTTAAACATAAAAATATACTTGTAGTACAGTTTAAAGTAATCTCATTCATTTTTTTATTTTTTATTTTTTAAATTAATTTATTTTTTAAATCTCATTTATTACATACAGAAAAATAATACTATTCCAAGAGAAAAAATTAAGAATCATGTTATGTGATAGAAAGGTGAATAATTTTTGAGATAGTACTTGTTTTTTTTGCGGAACTGGGGATTGAACTCAGGCTCTTGCGCTTGCCAGGCAAGCACTTATTCTACTGCGCTAACTCCCCGGCCCCTGAGATAGTACTTGCAATAAGAAGAGTTTACTGAAGGTGACAGGAGGCAAAATAAAAATATATAAATTGAAAAATTACTGCAGTGAAAGATATGGCAAGGGGCCAGGGAGATGGCTCAGTGGAATAAGTGCTTCCCTGGCAAGCTCAAGGGCCTGAGTTCAATCCCCAGTTCTGCCAAAAAAAAAAAAAAAAAAAAGAAAGATACATGGCTATTAATTCACTTTCAAAATACTCTCCCCCTCATGCAGAGCATACTTATTCCATTGATCTTGCCACTTCTCTTTTGGAGGCAGGGTCATTCAGGCTGACCCTAAATTCAGGCTGACCCTAAATTCCTGAAAACCCTCCCACCTTAGCTTCCAGAGTGCTGGGACTGCAAGCTTATGCCACCACACCCAGAGGTCCTGCTACTTTCTAAAGCAGTTCTGGAAGTCCTTTTTTACTAAGCATCTTTAGTAACTGTGCTATTCAGGCTGCCTTGATATGCTGGATCAATTCTAAATTGGACTTTCGAGGCCCCTGGACTTTGAAGAAGAGCCAGAGGTAGATCAGTGGCAGACCCAGGGAGTGAGACAGATGAGACACACTGCGATGTTTTTACAAGCCTGCCTTTCTACTGGATGGCCCTCTGCAGTGGCATTCACTGAATTTTTAATCATGCTGTTTAAAGACATTCATAAAAGAAGATTTTTGGGACTGCTTTGGTGAATGACAGGATTTGAAGTGAGGGGGGTATTCTGAGGAGATTAATGGCCTATGCTTTTTACTTTAATACACTAAAAAAGACTGCAAACATTCACTGTACTTTTGCATCTCCCCTTGTAGGATAAAGAAGGGAGCTGCAAAGAGACCTGGGGCCACATGAGTATGGGAAGAGGAGTACTGGGAAGGTCCAGGGGTAGGCAAGATGCCACCTAGACCTAGGTGCAAGTGAGTGCCTAGGCAGTGAGTAATCTAAGAAGAAATTCCTTCTTCTTTTCTTCAGATCATTTGCTTTTAAAATTGATAACTTAGGTTAGGAATCACAGTTTGGGTCAAATGGGATTTCATGGATTAGTCTGAAAACCCACTATTATTTATAACCACTACTACTTTTCAGAAACAAAAATAAACAATAAATACTGAAAACAGTGTTTCTGGAAGAGCACAGAGGTGCCCAACTTCAACATCTTCATTTCACAGGAGGCACAACGCTGTAAGCTGCTGAGCAAGGATCTGAAATCTCTTTTCCTGATCCCTGACTTACGCTTTTCTTACCGTGGTATCAAGTTAACTGCGGACAGGACGCTTTCTTCTTAAAAAGCCCTCCTTTTCAGTTTTCTCTTTTGGTGACAGTTTTAAGTTATTTTCTTTTCAAGCTTTTTATGTTAGTTATGTTTTCACCCCTCAAAGCCTAGACCCAAATACACAGCTTTCAGAAACTCATTGAATTGTCTTCAGCTCAATTTTTTCCTTTTACAAATGGAGGTTTCATTCATTATAAGAATGAGGCCACTGCACTTGGGTTTATCAGGTAGCCAGCTTGGACTGTGACACATAAAATGAAGGAGGTGAGGAATGGGAGGCTGTAAAGATGCTGGTCAACAGAGGAGTCCGTATGGCACAAGAAGAAGGGACCAAACTGCGTGCAGTAAGTGGCAGCGTGCCAGAGCTGCAGGAGCAAGCTGGGAGCTGGCGGGGGCAGGTCCCTCGGTGAAAGTGCAATCAGCAAATAATTCCAATCTCAGAATGAGACAGCTTTCTTACATATTAGTGCCTCCCTTTTTTGTTTTTTGCATCATGAGTATGAAAAGTAGTATCTATTGGTAAACACAGGAAAAGATTACAAAGACAGTAAATTAAAGAGTAGAAAATGACAAATCTTGGACTGTCAGTTATACCATATTAGTAAACCAGGAAGGGAGCATAAAACTTACTTTCACTAGCCACATGATTAGCTGGAAAATAGCCTTCCTGTCCCTTTCCTATGCTGCCATACCACCAGTCTTCATTATCTTTGAAAAACACTCGGATAATGTCTCCGCGATGGATGGTTAGTTCATCTGATCGGCTCGCTGTGTAGTCATAAAGCGCCACTACCTAAAGGAGAGATAAGACCACCACAGCTTTATCACAGTGTGCCACAGAGACACCCCCACACTCACTTCCTCTTGCAGAGCAGCAGCTGAAACCAAAGCAGTACTTTGGTAAGTCTGAGGCTGGCTCAAGGTTTGCTAATGGGACCAGGGGTGGTGGGAACACAGCCGGAGAAGTGAGATAAAAGACTGTGGGATTGAGAAATGGTTAAGGGCATCAACACACTAAGATTAGCTTCAAAATAGCAGATGTTAATTTTTTAAATTACTGTGAAGCAAATTTTAAAAAGCTCACATAACATCCACCTTCTCAGAAGTTTTTATACTATACCTTTAGATCTCATTCTCTGTGCCAGGCAGATACAGCTGAAAGAGAATTCTTTAGAAGGTTAATAGTTTTACCAAGAGGAAAAGCTCAATAGGACAACTTGATTGTATAACTCTATTGTGATCATTTGATCTGTCATTTTTTTCTTAGACATAAATTTCTCTTGGAAAAAACTCCATAGTTTTAGGGTTTTTAAATCAATGGTCTATATCTTTGGATTACCTTTTAAAATATCCATACAAACTGAGTTTTTCTATATACAAATTTATTTATTTATTTATTTGTGGAACCAGGGATTGAACTCAGGTCCTTGCGCTTGTCAGGTAAGCGCTTATTCTACTGAGCTATCTTCCTGGCCCCATCTATATACAAATTTAAGAGGAAAGCCCTTTCTATGAGATCTACTTCTTTGTGTTGTTACAGTAAACCATTATATGTGACTTTTTTTGTATGGGGAATTGAACTCAGGACCTTGTGCTTATATTTGACTTTTATATTTTAAAAAATTCAAGTCAAAGTCAATGTCAGTGATTGCATATCATTTAAAAATCCTTCATGGCAGTTAAAGGGAAAGAGAACTCAATCCATTTTATATCTGATGCACTGGATCAAGCAGGGCATAATAGTATGTATACTGAAAAATACACTGTTCTATTCTCCCTGTTTTGGGGTGTAAACTTATAAATCCAACTGTTTAGAGGACTGAAGCAGGAGGACTGCAAGCTTGAAGACTGCCTTTGCAATTTAGAGATCCTTAATTCTGTCTCAAAATTAGGGCAAAAAGGTTGTAAACAGCTCAGGGGTAGAGTGAGTGTCTATCATGTTTGAGGCCATCGGTTCTATTTCTAGCACTGTTTCTGTAAAACAAAACACAAAACATAAACCCTCCCCCCAAATCTATACCACTACCCATAAAAAACATTTTGAAATGCATAGGTTACACAATGAGATTATATAAAATGGAAGATCATCATTATAATCCATGTAATTGGGTTGAGAATTGATTCATTCACTTAAAAACTACTAAAATCCTAATGTACTTTGTACTGTGTTAGGAAGTAAATACACAATGGTAAATAGGATGGAGGTACATCATTTAGGCTTTGCAAGAAAACTAAAGGATAAGCAGTGATTTGCCAGGTGGAGAGAGGTGTGTCTTAAGTTAGGTTCTACAGCACGTGGGAGTACAGGGAAAAGAAACTCAAAATAGCTCAGCACAGTGGGAGCTGGAGTTATGGGTGACAGCTAACATAGAAATGTTGGGGAGATTAAGGGAAGGGATTAAGTAGAATCAAATCAGAAATGCTGGAGTTTAGACTCAATCATATGGCAATGCAAAGACTTAAAAGGGTTATAGAAGGGGGATTCCATTATTGTTGACAACCATTTCTGGTAACTTTAATTAATCCAAAAATATTTATCAACACAGCAACAGAATAGTGAATAAGCTTGGAATTAACTGCTGTCATATGCTGTAAGGGTAGTAAGACAACTTAATTAAAATGGTTCAAATGTAATGTCTATTATACTGCCTAGCATAGGAATTTATAACATGTGACATAGGATTCTGTTTAGGTTTATAAAGCTGTAACCTTAGAATGTCGATGCTGAATCACTCATATGATAATGGAACCTTTCATTATTCTCTTTGTTTTTTCTTCTCCAAATGACTTTTTTTTTCATTTTTTTAGCTGGCACAATTACAGAAAAGCTAACTAAAATGTGCAGAATACCTCCTGCATTCTAGCACCATGACAGCGGTTTATGTGCTACCTCATGACATGTGTATCCTCAGGACAGCTCTGTGAGCGCATATATTACCTCCATGTGACAAATGAAAAAACTGATGTCTACAGAATTTAGTAAGTTGGCTAAAGTAAAATGAACTACTAGGTGGCAAAATTAGGACATTATTTACAGGCCATTTCTCTCTACAAACAGATCAGAGGAAAACGTAGCAAAGAAGAAAGGAAGTTAAAACATGTTTTAGACTGCAGCAGCTAAGCAGTCGTCTGTGCTGGGAAGCTCTGCTGTCCTGGGTCACCTGCAGATCCACTATTCTCTTCTCATGACACTCAAAGTCCCAGTTCCAGGACCTCTGTGGTGGTTTATTCTTGTTTATCCTGGTCCTGTTACACCCGTTAAACAGCACAGATTTAATGGTCTTAATGTAAATATGAAGTCATCTCATGATTATTTATCTGAGCCCTGGGTGGCTACTGGAAAGGAGATTAAGGTACATTCACCTTAGGGACCAGCATCATCTTGGAAGTTCCACCTCAGGCTTCTGACAATACTCTTAGGCTAATGACAATTTAGAGCTCATCAAACTGAAGTCTGAAAACTTTTACTGAATTTTGCACAAGGGTTCATGTGAAAGAACCTCTTCAGAGGTGCTGGGGTCCACGGGACCTAACATAAGATCCTTCACTACACTTCCTCTCAAGAGTGCCCATGGATGACTATAGCCTCTCCTTACTGAACCAAATCACATGGCCAGTACTTATCAACATGTCCTACATTCTACAAGTTGTCGTCGTCGTCTGCTGCTGCTGCTTCTTCTTCCTCCTCCTCTTCTTCTTATTACTATTACTATTTATTTATTTTTATTTTTTGGCAGAAACAGGGATTGAACTCAGGACCTTGCGCTTGCCAGGCAAGCGCTTATTCTACTGAGCCATCTCCCCGGGCCCTCCTCAGGTAGCTAGCAAGCCTCTTTTCCTCCCTTATATTGTGTGTAGGCTACCCACCCCAGGGTGGGTACAGCACTCACAATCCCAGCACTGGACCGTAAATCAATCATAAATTCTTGAAGTCTACCCATGACAGCATGAGGCTTGGAGAGGACATATGCACACAAACCATAACCGAGGTTTAAGGAGAAATTAGTCCTATCAGCACTTTAATCTTGAGCTACCAGCTTCAAAATTGTGAGAAAGTAAAGTTCTATTAGTCAAACTACTCAGTCTATGACATGCTAACCCTAGCAGACTATCTAGTGCAGTCCCATATTCCGATAGTATCATACAGGTCCCTTACAACCATCTTGTCTTGGAAATACAAATGGGTAAAACCTCCCAGGTATTCATTTCTTGTCCTTATCAACTCACAGTACTATGTTCTACATTATTATAACTTTGGTCTTTTTGAGACAGTCTCACTACTTCAGATTGGCCTTAAACTCTATATAGCTCAGGCTTGAACTTGTAGTGATCCTCCTGCCTCAGCTCCCAAGTGCTATGATTATAGGCATGTGCCACCATCCCTCTTGATGTAGAAACAATATCATGGAATTCCATGGAAAGCATCCTTGGGAAGGTGATGGTTAGTGAGTGTGATACCACAGTACCATTATAGACATGTAAGTACACATTGCTGTATAAGGAGTTAGTGTGCTTACATTCCAATAGTCCACATCCTGTCAGTGGAATCTATGTGTCATGACTCTTTTCTTAACCTAGTAGAGGCACAGAACAGAACTGTGTAGCTCACAAGAAAATGTCTTCTAGTACATGATTTTACCCAATGTGCTTTCTCATTTGAAATCCACTTATTCTTTTCATATAATAACAGCTTGCATAGTTATCTTCTTTTGCTAGTTTTAATTTGGCAAGTAGATTCTGAGTAAATCGCAACTTTCCCATCTATAATTTCATTTTATTATCCTGTTTTACAACAGTAAAGATGTGTAAGAAAGTTGAGCAGTACAGTCCACCAAGAGTTTGTGTTGAATTACTACTACTCTATCTTTCCCTTTTCCTTGTTCTGCCACACTTCTCTACAGAAAGTCTGTCTTGATTGTTTTGATGAGTGTCTTCTATAACATTCTATTTCTTGACCAAGTGGTTGGCATGTAGGTAGAACAGGGTTATCTTCAGAAATATGATCCAAATCCTGGCAGACAGTAGTTATGAAATCTTTCCCCAACAAAAGTTTAAAGATGTGGACTAATGTGCCCATGTCAGAAAAGACAGGTTTGAAAAATACTTTGTTTGCTCGCTCGTTCTCTCTTCCTCTCCCTCCCTCCCTCTCTTTCTCTCTCATTCTTTTTGTGGTATCACAAAAAGATCAAACTCAGGACCTTGCACTTGCCAGGCAAGCACTGATTCCACTGAGCTATATTACCAGCCCAGGAAAATATTTCAAAAAATCAATTCTCCTTGATTTATGATGATATCACGTATTAATAAACATCATGCCTTATCCTAGCCTACTTCAAAGGAGCTCAGAATATTTACACTGGACTACTTGGGCAAAATCTTTTTTTTTTCCCTCCGGAACTGGGGATTGAACTCAGGCCTCTGAGCTTGCCAGACAAGTGCTTATTCCACTGAGCCATCTCCCCAGCCCCTTGGGCAAAATAATCTAACAAAAACCTTATTTTATAACAAAGTGTTGAATATGTCATACATTTTATTGAGAGTTGTAATGAAAATGAAAAACAGAATAGTTGCATGCGTGTCTTTTCACACATTTCTAATGTCAAATCATTTTAAGTAGAAGACCATCTGTATTTGAAAGTTTCTTCTTTTTTTCAAAGTCAACTTGCTTAGACATGATCGTGGCTGAAGTATCACCAGGAAGCTTCGTATATTTAACACACATTTCTCAGCTCCATAGAAATGCTTCCTAGATACTATTTCTTGGCTTAAGTAGCAGTTTGTCATCAGGTTACA